CCCGCTCATCTCATTGTGAGAAAAATGTATTTATTAATCCTAAATCCGTTCAGGATAGTTGGAGTAACTAGTCGTTTTATTATCTTTTCATTTCCAAAAAGATCTCGTATTCATCCAGTCTTAACATTGAAGCATTTAAAAGCCAGCAAAATGTTAGATTTGCAGAATATGGAATAGAACAATCTGGAGTCGCATAGACTTAGAGATTCGAGGCAAGACCTGTCTGAGGCGGAGGTAAGCATACATTTTGTTGGAGTTATGTGGCACCGGCAAGAGAAGAAGGCCTTATTAACTTTGAATCTGCTTAGGCCTCACCCATCCAGCATGACCCGTGAGCATTGCATGTATACAAAACATTTGCAAACGAGCACAGGCATAAATATCAACACTATAAGGTCAAAAGGTTCTATTTATGGCGGGGAAACTAATGTTTGGGCATAACTGCGTCCATTTCACGCAACATCAACAGCAAGCAAGCAGCGAAAATGTTTAATATCTAAACAAAACATAGACTGACTCATTATATGCGGAATATTGACTAGGCAGATTTGCATGGTTTGATGACATTTTATAACTAGAGACTGTACACTTTTGCAATGCCCGTCGCTTCTGGATTGAAAGTTAGCACGGATCCATCAGAATTTCAGTACGATGTACTAAGGACTTTTCGCACAATTCTACCTCCATAACCTCAAGACAGTTCGGATATAGTCAATTTTGGAATCTATTCTATTCGTCTTTCTAAACACAATAAAATATCAGACAAAAAATAAAAAGAATTACACTTAAATAATTTAGTGACTAATTGATGAGCACAACAATGTTTAGAAGTTGTTTGACCTTGTTTTCGCAACTTGGTCATATTGGCAGGAAAACCTAAAGGATAGTATGCACCATCATTTCCAGATTCGGACTGTGGACCTGAGAAATTCTCAGACGGCTCACGGGCATAGTAGTCGGCATCGTAGTCAGCATCGTCAGTCAGTCTTGTCATTCTTAGCACAACACTACAACTCGTCAAAGAGAAAAGTGAAGCCGATCCTTTCACCAAATGTGTGCTAAACAGTTGTGGTATCTCCCCTTCTGCCCTGGGCTATTCACCTTTCCTATTCCCTCGTATCATCACTTCAGTATCACAATTTTTACTTGTTTATCTAAACCTATTTGAAACATATTCACACTCCCCACTGTGCCTGGAGTGTTCTCTTCTATTCCTATCAGAGTTCCCTCTTGATCCGTAGGATCCTTCCCTAATCTGCCTGTTTCGGTGATTTCACTCCACCGCTGCCACCGTGTCCGTGCTACTCAAGGCGTTGTTCTACACTCTGCCTCAAACCTTTGATAGCACGTATACACCACCACCACCCTCACTGAGCAATCCCATAAAGTCTGGATTCTAATTTGGCATGGCAACCTAATTTGACACTGTAGATTCCCATATCGCTGTGCGGCATGTGCACCGGGTAAATCTGGTAGTCAAGCCTTAACTTCATGTTCCACTTATCTACCACTATTGGAGTACTTTTCATTTCATTTAAAGATGCGAGTGGAAGGGATTCGTAAGTTGGTTCCACGAGTGACTATGGCAGGTTGCCTTGGGGCTGTAGTTGTAGATTTGTGTGAATAGGCCCTCGGCGCAACGCAAATGAATCTCTCTCTCAGCTTTTGTTTGTCATTTGGCGGACATTGTCAGAGCAGGACTAAGGCTTCAAGCCTACTACCTTCTTCTATTGCTATTTGGTCCACTTAAGCATCTCATGATTTGGTTGGATGTTCTATGCTTTGCCTCAATATTGACTCATAAGTTAAGTTGAATGGCTACAGATGACATGTGAAGTGGCAACAGATGAAGCGTGGAATGGGTGCTCTTGAAAGGATTATGTGAGAGTCAAAACCGAATTCAAGCCTAATCAAGCCCCTTGCTCGGTGGTACTTCCCGTTCCCCTCCTCCTCTCTCTAAACCTATTCAACAGCCACAAGTAGTTTCCGCTTAACTTCCTGACCCACTCTACAGATAGGGTTGTGACAAGATGTTCTATGCTTTGCCTCTTTATTGGCTCATAAGTTAAGTGAAGTGGCTGCGGATGACAAGTGAAGTGGCTAGAGATGACGCGTGAAATGGGTGCAATTGATCAGACTGCTACATGATATTGCATTTATGTTGAAGAAGATAGGCGAATTACGGATGAGGGGGGACATCAGGACCATTTATAAAGAGAAGAAAACACAGTCCTCGGTAATGGCTTCTATTCGGGATCACCCTGATCCGCTCTCCAGATAGGGCTGCTACAAGAGTTTGCGTTCATGTGGTAGTGCCTATGTGCCTATGTACCCCCATACATAAGAGGTTATCCGAACACAAAACAGCCTGCAAGAGTATGTGGGTCCAAAAACCGCAATTGGCCGAACACATGGCTCGTACTGAACACCAGATAGATTGGTCTAATGTCAAACGCTTAGCTGTATATGGAGGCTATGCCAGTAAGCGAAAGATTAAGGAGGCAATAGAAATCATAAAAACAGCCAACACCCTGAATAGAAGGATTGGGTGTCGGAAGTTAAGCGGAAACTACTTGTGGCTGTTGAATAGGTTCAGAGAGAGGAGGAGGGGAACGGGAAGTACCACTGAGCAAGGGGCTTGATTAGGCTTGAATTTGGTTTTGACTCTCGCATAATCATTTCAAGAGCACCCATTCCACGCTTATCTGTTGCCAATTAACTTAACTTATGAGCCAATATTAAGGCAAAGCATAAAACATCCAACCAAAGCATGAAATGCTTAAGTGGACCCAATTGGAATATAAGAAAGAAGTAGCCTTGAAGCCGGCTACCCTTCTTGCCTTCATGTTTTTGGTAAATTATCGTAAG